CCGCTGGGCCCCTCATGGGGCTCGGCAGTGGAGCTGCAAGGCTGCCGGCGGCGACCGGGACCGTTGGGGGTGGGGTGGGTGGTCTTATGACACACTTCCGGTGATATCAGGGTGTGTGGCCTTATGACACACTTCCAGTGATGTCAGGGGGTGTGGCATATGCCAATGAGTTATGCTAATGAGTTCCCCTAGCTCTTTTTCTACGAAATGACCACTGGTTAATACAGAGAAACAAAGTGAGCGGCAGGAGGAGAGAAGACAGGAGGCGGCCAGACTAGATGGTTACCGCTGCCTCAGCTGTAGGCCCGGTGGAACAGCTCCATTTTACAGGCCCTGCAGAACTGCTTTAAGTCTCACAGGGCCCAGATCTCGAAACAAGTAACGTTGGTAACCAGTGGAAGGTGGTCCTGGATAAATAGGGTTGCCAGCCCCCACGTCCAGGCAGGGGTTCCCCCGCTTCTGGGGGCTTCAATCTGCCCCCAAGAGTGACCACCTTCCCGGCCACCCCTCTCCCTCCCCTCCTGCCCGATTTAAAGGGCTTCAGCTGTTTGGGGGGACCACGTAGCCTGCTGACCAGCTGGAGGGCCCTTTAAGTCTGGCAGGAAGGAGGGAGAGGGGTGGTCATGGGCCGCACAGTCGGCTTGCAAGAAGACCCTTGAAAGGGTCTTAAACTTGGCCAGTTCCCCTCTTTACTACAGCCGCCATCCCACATGGGTTTTCTCCCTGCAGGTCCCACAGCCTTTTGGGTAATCAAAAGAGATTCCCTTCTCCCCCTTTCACCATTGGAAAAGCTGATTGGATCCAACACCTGGGCAGCGAGAGATGTGCCTGGCTTGAGTTGTCCTTACCCCTTCTCCCAGTTGCTGAGGTTTTATGGAATAAATATTCCAAATTTTGCTTAGGACTTAAAAAGAAATCCACAGATGAAGCTCAAGCACAAGGTGGGGCTGCATGCCGTTGTTGGGAAGCGATATAGCTAAAAAGAGGAGTGGTAGCCTCACTGCAGTGCTGGTCAGCTTAGTGACTGTTAGTGGATAGCTGTATGGATGGGACAAGTGGTATGCAAACAGCAAGTGTGAGCAGGGCGCACCTAGGTGAATTTTATGAATTCACACATGAATTCACAGTTTATGAATTCACATTTGCATGTGCGTTTTATGAATAGGTGCGGAACATGTGAATAAGGAAATAAGAAAAGGGAAGGTGGAACTAGGCACAGAAGAAGGATTAAACAGACATAGAAACTGCACACTTCCACTAAGCCCGGTAGCATTCTAATATTTACACATAAGAACATAAGAGAAGCCATGTTGGATCAGACCAGTGGACCATCCAGGCCAACACTCTGTGTCACACAGTGGCCAAAAACCAGATGCCATCAGGAGGTCCACTGGTGGGGCCAGAACTCCAGAAGCCTTTCCAATGTTGGCCCCCCAAGCACCAAGGATACAGAGCATCACTGCCCCACTGCACCTAAATGGCAGAACTGTGGAAGGGCTTCTCCCAGCATGGTTTGGCAAGGGTCTCATTAGCATCACTGGAGTTCATCTGCAGATACTCCTGCCCCTCCTACCTCTAGGGTATTTTCTGGAACCTGGATTTCCACAGTCTACTGCCATGAGCCAGAAAGGTGTGCAGCTTCCATGAGTTGCCGTCTAGACCATCTGCAAGCCCCAAAGTCTATCGGCAGCTTTTATGCACTTAAGTGCCATCAAATTGCAACTCTTATGGTGACCCCAGCCAGGGGCTTTCAAGGCAAGTGAGAGGCAGAAGTGGTCCTGCCATTGGCTTCTTCTGCAGAGTCTTCCTTGGTGGTCTCCCATCAAAGTACTGGCCCTGCTTAGCTTCCATGTTTTGACAAGATAAAGCCACACTACCACCTTCCCTCCCATCTGCAGCTTTTACGGTGAAGAAAATCCACGGGTCAATAGAAAGAGGAGGAGATTGGATCTATACCCCGCCCTTCACTAACCGAAGGCGTCTCAGAGCATTTTACAATCTGCAGACACCCTGCAAGGTAGGTGGGGCTGAAAGAGCTCTTTCAAGAACTGCTCTTTCCAGAACAGCTTTGAGAGAACTGTGACTGACCCAAGGTTACACCAGCAGCTGCATGTGGAGGAGTGAGGAATCAAACCTGGTTCTCCCAGATTAGCGTCCGCACTCCTAACCACTACACCAAATGGGCTCTCTGTCAATAGTTAAGTTGTTCACTGTCTGCATGAGAGCTTAACTAAGTGAGGATATACTTACCACAGGCACAAAGGGCCACAGAGCCGTAGGCATTGTAGCGTGAACCTCCAACAATGAGGAGCCCAAAAGGAGTGCTGGAATGCTCTAGGAATGAGGCTTTTGTTTGCGTGCCCAACCCATGTTGAGTCCAAGAATATTCTGTGCCGGGGATTAGCCTCCACTGTGTGTTTCCAATGGCTCTCTTATCTAATGTGATCCCATTGGATTCTGAGGTTTTGGCTATAATGATGGCATAATTTTCGAAGTTTCTTATCCCGTCAATGTGATACAGCCTGCAGTAGCTTGTTAGGGATGGAATGTTGATGAGGAATGGGTCATAGGCTCCGCCTCCTACTGCGGCCCCGGTGAAGAAGAACAGAACTTGGATTCCGACGTCAGCAGAGATGTGGAGAGGCTGATAGGCTACTACTTCCAACTGGAGAACTTGCCCAGCGATCACGTCACGGGAGCTTTGTGTGTACCCAGAACGGTATTTGATGCAGGTGTTTTGGGAAGCAATGACATAGGCAATGTCAAATCCGTACTGGAAGGACAGTGGGGGGACAATGAACGTCGTACCCCAGCTCGAAACGGGCAGTAGCTGTTCAAAGACAAGGTCGCAGCCTGTGTTTTTGGAGGCACAGCTGTGCCCGCTTAAAACCGCCACGGGTTCTGTGGATTCAACTCTGGTACCAGATAGGTCAACTGAGCTCTGCAGCTGGATTGCTTGGAAGGCCTGGAGATTGGTAACCAGCCTCCCCCCTGCAGGATAAACCTTCCCTCTGAATACCACAGCCCCTTTCAAGAGAATATCAATCCTAGCAGGAGTTTGATGAGTTACAACAGTGAATTCCTTGAAACTGTTGGTCAGTGTACCCATCGGGGTCACCACGTAATACAGTGTGCCCAAGTGTTGGACAGGGTACACTATGCTGGCTCCACTTGTGTAGTCCCTGTAGTTGAAAGAGAAGACGGAAATATCTTTATCGGCTTGGATCAATACCGCCTTATCTAGGATATCCGTCCCCTCCATCTCTACGGAGGTTGGGAGTACAACAGACACAGTCTTTCCCTCTTGAACTGGCTGTGCACAAGCCTGAAAGAAGAAAGGAAAGATTACGAAAGGGATAGAAAACCATAGAGCAATCATGGTAGTGACAATCTATAGTGTGGCCTCATATATCTGCAATGCTGGTTTTTCAAATGAGGAAGAGAGAAAACGACAAAAGATCAGAGCACCTAGCCTATGGTGTAAACGTCTGAATCTTAAGCGACATGAAAATGCTTCTCCCTGTTCATAAAACTGGAACGTGGGTGGGTCCATCCAATGAATTTCTTCAGATAGCATAAAAAGGTAAAGGTAATGGTTCCCTTGCTCGAAAGCCAGTCGAGTCCGACTCTAGGGTTGTGGTGCTCATCTCCGTTTCAAAGCTGAAGAGCCAGCGCTGTCCGAAGACATTTCCGTGGTCATGTGGCCGGCATGACGGCTTGACATTTCTGGAAAATCAGTCCTGGATTAGGTAGGCTTTATGGCCTTTCACTGCAGTGAGGTAATGCTGTGCAGCCATTTTTGATACACGAATGTGGCTCACAGAGAAAGAAGATCCCAAGACACATTTCTCATCTGGTGCTTCCGCAGTCTTCTCGCCACCCCAGCTTCCAGTGAGTCCTCTTCAGTTTCTGGAGGGAATGGTGAGTCCCTCAAGTGTACAGACTGTAGTGCATTTCTGTTGCCCCTCCCTTTTAAATAACTGCAGCGTTATCCCTCAATTACAGTGTTTACTGCTTAGTGCTCTGCCTTGGCTAAATAAAAGTTTATGGTGCAAAACAAACCCAGCCCCATTAATGTGAAACTCATAGCGATGCTAGCTGAAAGTCAGCTCTGTGTGAGCCAAACTACATGATAAGCCTGACACGTGCCTGGTCACAGGTGTGGTACCCAAGCTGCAGTCAGACATACATTGAGGAACTCACATTAAGCAGCACTCGTTTGCTTGGTGCTGCATGGGAGCACTTCAAGGGAGGGGGGGAAGAGCTTCCTGTTTTCCTCCCACCCCTCTTTAGTCCATTTCTGGTTCTCCATTTGCTGTGAACATTGCTGACGTGAGGTTTTTATTGAACGAATGCAGGGGTTCCCAGCCTTTTTGAACCTGTGGGTACTTTTGGAATTCTGACAGAATGTGGTGGACACAGCCGCTGCCACAAAATGGCTGCTGCTGAAGGCAGAGCCAGGCCAAAGCAGCTACCACAACTTACCCTCAGTTGCCCAGTGAAGATCCTTCTGCTCTTAGACCAGCTGCTACCAAAGCAACATTTTTTAAAAAAATCTACTTGGCTTCTCCGGTTCTTGGAGAACCGGAGAAGCCACATAGAGAATTTCTTGACTTGTGCATTGTAGCATTTGTGAACTTTGGTTCCAGGAGAAATAATTTGCCTGAAGAAGAATTCCTCGAAACGCACAATATTTGCCTGGGAGGCGTGTTGCACGATGTTTGCTGCATCTCTTTTTTGAAAGCAAGACAGCCACAGCATTGAACCTCGTCTGCATATTCGTCTCTGTACCTTTGGACATTTCTTCAAGATTGAATATTGTTATATCTATACCATTGTTGTTAGTGCACTATAATAATCAGGTTACACTAGGGTCTTTATTGTATATCATAAGTATATGATTTAATTAATTAATTAATGAAGTTACAGTAGTATATTAGAATTGTGTGCTTTGTTGTTGTTGCACAGTCATTTCCCACATTTTACTCAACCTTGCTGTGTTTCCTGTGTGTTTGTTGCTATCCCACCTGAAGGCTGGCACCCCTATGGGGACAAGAGCTAACAGTTTGCCATTTCAGACTGCACCACTTTCCCCCGCTTTCCCCCCGTTTTTCACCCACACGGGCGATCTCCGGCTTTATAGCAGTACAGCGCTATAGCACTACAACAAAACACTCTAGCCATCCAATGGCGTTGATATACTGCTGTTCCGTTATATAGCGCTATAATGCTATAAAGTGAATGTAAAAAAAAAAAGACGGAGATCGCCCGTGTGGGCGAAAAACAGCAGGGGAAAAGTGCATCGGAACCGGGAGAGGAAACTGAAGACTACTTGGAAGCTGTTGACAGGTAAGACGCTTCAGCCCCATTTCCTAAATGGGACAGAAGCGTTTGTGTCTAAAATTACAAATATATTCCGGTAGGGAACCGGTTCTCAAACGGTTCTGTCTGAAATGACGCCTTTTTTAATTTTCTTCAGGAGCTCACGGTATACTCGGATCTGTGCCAGGTGTTATACACTGGAAGCCTTCCCCTGTCCAGGAGAGAATCTGGCAAGGGGCAGACAACACTGCCTTTGAGTAGGTCAACCTCCCTGCTTGCACCAAAGAGACAAACACAGAAAGCCTCTTTCATGGGGGATCTGCAGGGGGATCCAAAACGACATCACTTTCTGAGAGATTCCATGGCGTTGCTCCTTCCCAAGAAACGGCACTTACGATCAGGTTCAGCCTGCATGCCCTTTAATGCCAAACTCACCACAGAGAAGCGCCAGCCAGGTCCAGAGCAGCAGCAGTCGCGTTGCCATGGCTACAGAAAAGAAATAAAGAAACTAATTCGTCTACAGAAGTAAATGTCCCGCGCCTTCTCATAATCAACCCCTTAAATGCCCCCGCCTTCTTTTTCAGAGCTTGAATACGGGAATTCTGGCTCTTGCACTGCCTTCAGCTGGCCTAAAGGTAAAGGTAAAGGTTTCCCTTCCTCGAAGGTCAGTCGGATCCGACTCTAGGGGCGGTGCTCATCTCTCTTTCCAAGCTGAAGAGCCAGCGCTGTCCGAACACGTTTCTGTGGTCATGTGGCCAGCATGACTAGATGCCGAGGCACATGGAACACTGTTACCTTCCCACCGAAGTGGTACCTATTTATCTACTTGCAATTTCTTGCTTTCGAACTGCTAGATTTGGTGTAGTGGTTAAGTGTGCGGACTCTAATCTGGGAGAACCGGGTTTGATTCCCCACTCCTCCACTTGCACCTGGCTGGATGACCTT